ACTAGAAATTAACTAGAACTGAACTAGAACTGAACTAGAACTGAACTAGACTGAACAGAACTGAACTAGAAACTGAACTAGAACTGAACTAGAACTGAACTAGAACTGAACTAGAACTGAACTAGAACTGAACTAGAACTGAACTAGAACTGAACTAGAACTGAACTAGAACTGAACTAGAACTGAACTAGAACTGAACTAGAACTGAACTAGAACTGAACTAGAACTGAACTAGAACTGAACTAGAACTGAACTAGAACTGAACTAGAACTGAACTAGAACTGAACTAGAACTGAACTAGAACTGAACTAGAACTGAACTAGAACTGAACTAGAACTGAACTAGAACTAGAACTGACTAGAACTGAACTAGAACTGAACTAGAACTGAACTAGAACTGAACTAGAACTGACTAGAACTGAACTAGAACTGAACTAGAACTGAACTAGAACTGAACTAGACTGAACTAGAACTGAACTAGAACTGAACTAGAACTGAACTAGAATATTAATCCTAGGAATCGGTATATAATACCCTTAATCATCCGTATGGGATCAACTCTAGGAAAGTGTTGTATTTTCTCTTATTTTTCTTTTAAATTCTTAAATTGTCTTAGAATTTAATTATAGTTTTAGTTAAGTTTTATTTTTTGTAAAGATTACCTTTTCCATATTAACTTTTAATCTTATAAACTTGTTTGTTTATGTTTAATCAGAACGTTCAACTGTAACCTAATTTTTTTTGTTTCCTTTACTTTGACTGTGTTTATAACATTTTCCTTTCTTTTGCTGAAAAGTGCATTTGAAGTTAATATTGAATATAATTTAGTTGTTGGTAGCTTTTTTTCTGAGCGAAACAAATTGAAGGAGTGCATAAAAGCGACATGCAAAAGTAAGTGTGTACGTGTTGAAATAGAAAATATTGGGTAGGAGTAAAAGTCATTACATACATACTTAGCTAAAAGGCAATTCTTTTATAGATAATAAATTTATCTTCAAAATTAAAATCTTTCTCTAGAATTAACTTTTTCCCCTTTCCATACTCCACTTCAAACAACAAACAATTTCATTTACAAGTTCAGTTTTTGTTTGAACAAGTAGAAAGTACCTACTAACTACATATAATCATACACACAACAACATTATATGTGAAAATATCTTTTGGGTGTTTTGTTAATTTAATTCCTGTGCAAATCTTTAGTTTTTATTCAAAAACACACATTTACATAAACTTTCGCACATTCCAACCAACAACAAGTGCGTGCAGTAGTTTTTCCTTTTCAACTATATACATTTCGTTAGAAGTTTTTTTGTATACGATTATGTTTCTTTGATGAAGTAAAAAGTTATTATTTTATATTTACAAACAAATACAAATGTATGTATGTAGCGCAGTAATTTCATTAGTTGTCGGTGGGGATTATGAAGTAGGTTAAAGGAAAACTTTCGTTATCTTTGGCAAATATACAAAAATTAAAAAAATTCTTAGGGAAATTAAAATATGTATGCATGAATCAAGAAAGGTTAGTTAGAGAAGTAGCCAAAATATAGACGTGTTTAAAATTTGATAATTGTTTTGAATTATTTTGAAAATCTAATTTAATTGTTTTAAAGCTCTTTTTGTGGGAAATATCATGGTTTCATCAGGCTGGCAAACAGAAAGACGGACACTGTTAGAATATCATAATGATTAATATTTAGTAGTATTAATAGAGGTATATATTTATGAACATAACTCTATATAATTTGGCGATGGTTATAAAAGAACTAGGCTATTACTTTTTATATTTTGGAATACTTAGTGCAATTCTTCTGCTCTGTTTATGTTAAAAACACCAAATTTGTATATATTTGTGTACATACATTATTCAAGTAAGTATGTAACTAAGCACTGAGTGTTTTCGTAAACATGAGAAAAAGATGCTACAAAGTATTCACACATTTCTAAATATTTATAACAATAAAGGGCCCAACAAAGCTCCCAGCAACACTTTACTAATTCAGTGTCCAGTTTTTAGTTGTAGTTTAGCTAACTTTGTTCAGTTCAATTCTAGTTCGTTGTATAGAATTAGTTCTAGTGTTCATTTCAAGTTCAGAGTTCATTTAGTTTAGTCCAGTTCTAGTTCATGTTTCAAGTTCAGTTCCTAGTTCAGTTTTAGTTCAGTTCTAGTTCAGTTCTATTCAGTTCTAAGTTCATTCTAGTTCAGTTCTAGTTCCGTCTAGTTCAGTTCTAGTTCAGTTCTAGTTCAGTTCTAGTTCAGTTCTAGTTCAGTTTTCTAGTTCAGTTCTAGTTTAGTTCTAGTTCAGTTCTAGTTCAGTTTATTAGTTCAGTTCTAGTTCAGTTCGTAGTTCAGTTCCTAGTTCAGTTCTAGTTCAAGTTCCTAGTTCAGTTCTAGTTCGTTCTAGTTCAGTTCAGTTCAGTTCAGTTCTAGTTCAGTTCTAGTTCAGTTCTAGTTCAGTTTCTAGTTCAGTTCTCAGTTCAGTTCTAGTTCAGTTCTAGTTCAGTTCTAGTTCTTCTAGTTCAGTTCTAGTTCAGTTCAGTTCTAGTTCAGTTCTAGTTCAGTTCTAGTTCAGTTTCTGTATTCTAGTTCAGTTCTAGTCAGTTCTATTTCCGTTCTATTTCAGTTCTAGTTCAGTTCTAGTTCAGTTTCAGTTCGTTCTAGTTCAGTTCTAGTTCAGTTCTAGTTCAGTTCTAGTTCAGTTCTAGTTCAGTTCTAGTTCAGTTCTAGTTCAGTTTCAGTTCAGTTTATTAGTTCTAGTTCATCTAGTTCAGTTCTAGTTCAGTTCTAGTTCAGTTCTAGTTCAGTTCTAGTTCAGTTCTAGTTCAGTTCTAGTTCAGTTCTAGTTCAGTTCTAGTTCAGTCTAGTTCAGTTCTAGTTCAGTTCTAGTTCAGTTCTAGTTCAGTTCTAGTTCAGTTCTAGTTCAGTTCTAGTTCAGTTCTAGTTCAGTTTCTAGTTCAGTTCTAGTTCAGTTCTAGTTCAGTTCTAGTTCAGTTCTAGTTCAGTTCTAGTTCAGTTCTAGTTCAGTTCTAGTTCAGTTCTAGTTCAGTTCTAGTTCAGTTCTAGTTCAGTTCTAGTTCAGTTCTAGTTCAGTTCTAGTTCAGTTCTAGTTCAGTTCTAGTTCAGTTCTAGTTCAGTTCTAGTTCAGTTCTAGTTCAGTTCTAGTTCAGTTCTAGTTCAGTTCTAGTTCAGTTCTAGTTCAGTTCTAGTTCAGTTCTAGTTCAGTTCTAGTTCAGTTCTAGTTCAGTTCTAGTTCAGTTCTAGTTCAGTTCTAGTTCAGTTCTAGTTTGTTCTAGTTCAGTTCTAGTTCAGTTCTAGTTCAGTTCTAGTTCAGTTCTAGTTCAGTTCTAGTTCAGTTCTAGTTCAGTTCTAGTTCAGTTCTAGTTCAGTTCTAGTTCAGTTCTAGTTCAGTTTAGTTCAGTTCTAGTTCAGTTCTAGTTCAGTTCTAGTTCAGTTCAGTTCAGTTAGTTCAGTTCTAGTTCAGTTCTAGTTCAGTTCTAGTTCAGTTCTAGTTCAGTTCTAGTTCAGTTCTAGTTCAGTTCTAGTTCAGTTCTAGTTCAGTTCTAGTTCAGTTCTAGTTCAGTTCTAGTTCAGTTCTAGTTCAGTTCTAGTTCAGTTCTAGTTCAGTTCTAGTTCAGTTCTAGTTCAGTTCTAGTTCAGTTCTAGTTCAGTTCTAGTTCAGTTCTAGTTCAGTTCTAGTTCAGTTCTAGTTCAGTTCTAGTTCAGTTCTAGTTCAGTTCTAGTTCAGTTCTAGTTCAGTTCTAGTTCAGTTCTAGTTCAGTTCTAGTTCAGTTCTAGTTCAGTTCTAGTTCAGTTCTAGTTCAGTTCTAGTTCAGTTCTAGTTCAGTTCTAGTTCAGTTCTAGTTCAGTTCTAGTTCAGTTCTAGTTCAGTTCTAGTTCAGTTCTAGTTCAGTTCTAGTTCAGTTCTAGTTCAGTTATAGTTCAGTTCTAGTTCAGTTCTAGTTCAGTTCTAGTTCAGTTCTAGTTCAGTTCTAGTTCAGTTCTAGTTCAGTTCTAGTTCAGTTCAGTTCTAGTTCAGTCTAGTTCAGTTCTAGTTCAGTTCTAGTTCAGTTCTAGTTCAGTTCTAGTTTAGTTCTAGTTCAGTTCTAGTTCAGTTCTAGTTCAGTTCTAGTTCAGTTCTAGTTCAGTTAGTTCAGTTCTAGTTCAGTTCTAGTTCAGTTCTAGTTCAGTTCTAGTTCAGTTCTAGTTCAGTTCTAGTTCAGTTCTAGTTCAGTTCTAGTTCAGTTCTAGTTCAGTTCTAGTTCAGTTCTAGTTCAGTTCTAGTTCAGTTCCAGTTCAGTTCTGGTTCAGTTGTTTTTATTTTTGTAGTCGAGAGTATTCTCAACTGTTTAAAAATTCAAGTGAATTGAAATGTTTTTATCAAATATTTGTCTAGTGTGACTACACCTTAAAACAGACATTAAATAAGATGAACTGACGACCTAGTTAAGTTGCAAGAATTTGTTTTACTTATAAAAATATACATACTTGTATTTTTACTTTTGTGAATATAGAAATAGACTACACAAAAACTATATAAAAACTTAAAGAAATTTTTGCATTCGCATTATGAAAATGACAGGGATTAAAAAGAAAAGTTTTTAGACAAAAAAAAAAAGTATCATAATCATATGAATATAACATTCAAGAAAAGCTTAAAATGTAGAGAATTTTCTTAAACTAGGTCACATTATAAAATTATTTTTATTTTTTAACTTTAAAGCTTATGTGAGAATTATTTGTTCATTTATTCCATATATTTTTGTATACTCCCACGTGTATGCATCTGACCTGTTTTTCTAGTACATGTTTCATTTTGAATTAGTTAGCATTTTTTCTGTTTCTGTTGAGTTTTAAGTTTTCCCGGTTGTTTTAGTTTTACTTGTGTTAATGATTTTTCTGTTAAGTGTTGCATGTTGAGATTTGTTTTTTTTTTTCTTATTATAAAAAATATTTAAGTTTAAATTTAAAAAAAAATTCATTTAATTTTTTTTTCTTCTTAGGGTCTGATCCAAACTCTTTAGCTTCAGCCTATATGTCAACAGCCGGTCTACCACAATTTGGTAGCGCCGCCTAACTTCTTCACCTTTAGCCAGTGTTGCCTTAAGTACTGCAGCTGCTGCAGCAGCAGGAAAACAAATCGAGGGTAAGTGAAAAATATTTTCTTAAAATTAATTGTATATCGATATTTAAAAAGTTTTGTATAAAACTATAATGAAACTGTGGCTTTTTATAATTTATTTCAATCGTCCCACTGTATACTATCATGAAATCGGTAAAATTCCCACAATTATTCACCTGTTAATCAGAAATTATTACACATGTTTTAATTTTTTTTGCGGTGAATCACCGCTAAATGACCTCGGTACCAATTTCTAGAATTAGTGTAAACAGCAGTGAAACTTGTGTCATAAAAAGCTGACATTATCATTTCTTTGCTCTTAATTATAATTGAGCAATATTATAAGTAATTAAATTTTAAAATCGTTTAAATCAAAGAAAACCGAAAAAGGCTTTTTATACTTTAAATAATTACTTTTTTGCATGGTTATTAGCACTGATAATACATTTTCAAAAAATTTATTTTACACGGCCCTCCTTTATAAAGAGGACGGACGGACATAAGTTAAACGATTAGAAAGTGATCTTAAGCTTTTACTTTGTGGTTATTGCTGATGGTAGTTGTAGGGTACACAAATCCCACTATTATATTGTTACAATTTAATAACACCTGTCGTTGATTAGAAAACAATGTGTATGGTTATCAATTTCATGTCAGCATTTCCAACAAAGTAAGTTGCATAATTATCTCTTCATCAGCAAATATCTTCATAGGTTTTTCGTGATATTTAATGAATTATCAAGAAATATAACCAATACCACGGTTCAGGTGCTAATATAAATAATTCTCGCAACGTATAACACAATATCCAAAAAAATTTTCTTAAGGGTTTTAGTTTCTAACTACCCATCTACAGTTTTCGAAAATGTAATATATTTGAAGAGTTCAGTTCTAGTTCAGTTCTAGTTCATTTCTAGTTCGTTCCTAGTTCAGTTCTAGTTCTGTTCTAGTTTCTGTTCTATTCGTTCTAGTTCAGTTCTAGTTCAGTTCTAGTTCAGTTCTAGTTCAGTTCTAGTGCAGTTCTAGTTCAGTTCTAGTTCAGTTCTAGTTCAGGTCTAGTTCAGTTCTAGTTCAGTTCTAGTTCAGTTCTAGTTCAGTTCTAGTTCATGTTCCGATGTCAGTTCTAGTTCAGTTCTAGTTCAGTTCTAGTTCAGTTCTAGTTCAGTTCTAGTTCAGTTCTAGTTTCAGTTCTAGTTCAGTTCTAGTTCAGTTCTAGTTCAGTTCTAGTTCAGTTCTAGTTCAGTTCAAGTTCAGTTCTAGTTCAGTTCTGGTTCAATGTCTAGTTCAATTCTAGTTCAAGTTCTAGTTCAGTTCTAGTTCAGTTCTAGTTCAGTTCTAGGTCGTTCTAGTTCAGTTCTAGTTCAGTTCTAGTTCAGGGCTTTCTAGTTCAGTTCTAGTTCAGTTCTTAGTTCAGTTCTAGTTCAGTTCTAGTTCGAGTTCAAGTTCTAGTTCTAGTTCTAGTTCTAGTTCAGTTCTAGTTCAGTTCTAGTTCAGTTCTATTTCAGTTCAGTTCAGTTCTTCTAGTTCAGTTCTAGTTCAGTTCTAGTTCAGTTCTAGTTCAGTTCTAGTTCAGTTCTAGTTCAGTTCTAGTTCAGTTCTGGTTCAGTTCTAGTTCAGTTCTAGTTCAGTTCTAGTTCAGTTCTAGTTCAGTTTTAGTTCAGTTCTAGTTCAGTTCTAGTTCAGTTCTAGTTCAGTTCTAGTTCAGTTCTAGTTCAGTTCTAGTTCAGTTCTAGTTCAGTTCTAGTTCAGTTCTAGTTCAGTTCTAGTTCAGTTCTAGTTCAGTTCTAGTTCAGTTCTAGTTCAGTTCTAGTTCAGTTCTAGTTCAGTTCTAGTTCAGTTCTAGTTCAGTTCTAGTTCAGTTCTAGTTCAGTTCTAGTTCAGTTCTAGTTCAGTTCTAGTTCAGTTCTAGTTCAGTTCTAGTTCAGTTCTAGTTCAGTTCTAGTTCAGTTCTAGTTCAGTTCTAGTTCAGTTCTAGTTCAGTTCTAGTTCAGTTCTAGTTCATTCTAGTTCAGTTCTAGTTCAGTTCTAGTTCAGTTCTAGTTCAGTTCTAGTTCAGTTCTAGTTCAGTTCTAGTTCAGTTCTAGTTCAGTTCTAGTTCAGTTCTAGTTCAGTTCTAGTTTAGTTCTAGTTCAGTTCTAGTTTAGTTCTAGTTTAGTTCTTAGTTCTAGTTTTCTAGTTCAGTTCTAGTCCAGTTCTAGTTCAGTTCTAGTTCAGTTCTAGTTCAGTTCTAGTTCAGTTCTAGTTCTGTTCTAGTTCAATTCTAGTTCAGTTCTAGTTCAGTCCTAGTCCTGTTCTAGTTCATCTTGAGAAATTCATTAAATGTAAGCTTTTTGTATGATACGGACAGAGCTTATATAAGTACTAATATCGATATTGTAACAAAATTATTAATTTAAATATCAGTGTGAAAAATTATTTTAAATAAAATGAAGAGAAAATTAACTAGTTTTTTTTTCGTCAATTTATAATTTTATTAAAAATATAAGACATATAAAAGTAATTTAAAACTATTTACACTTTATATAAAGAATTTAGAAAAAATCAAAGAAAAAATACTACTAGAGCTGCAGGCATGATTTTTGTGACATGTACTCCAGGCATATAATGTTTGATTAGTTTTTGGCATATTTTTTTTACAAAATTACTTATATTATAATGGCAATTTATTATTATTTTTGTTAATTATAGGCAGTCTATAGGAGGTCCTTAACTAATGTAGTTACTAACAACATTTCTCAAACAATAAAACTATTTTTCTGAACTTTTAGGTATTAGTTAATGATCACTTTTTTTCTTTTTGATTTTAATTAACTTAAAATTTTATTTAAAACAGTTTGCTTTTGGGGTTGTTTGTGTGTAAAAAAAAATTAATTAAAATACTAAATAAATTACAAATAAAATGTTTAAAATTAATACTTAAATTTATTGTTATAATTAATATTACAATTAGTTCCCATAAATAACATTTCTCATGTGGATTCATATGACTATCAGGTGAACACTCAAAGGTTTTTGCAAATTCGGCAAACTGAGCCAAAGCATAGTTAACATGACTCCGACCTAGAGCCTCGTCGGAGGTGTGTGAGCCACAAAATGTTTGGGCATAATTGAGGAAAAATTTTTTACGATTTGATATTAAATTGTTGTTGTGCGTATGAAAAAAAGCTGTGATAACTGAGACGCAAACCACTAACATCGGCTATTTTATCATTGAATTCCGAGGACTGCCAAGAGCCTAGACATTTTACATGCAGCATTAGTTTAGTGTGTTCATCTTTGGCTAGACCATTTAAATTGAAGCCATACATTAAAGTTTGACTTATAAGAAAGCCCAAAGAGCTGTATTTGTATATGTCAGTAAAATCCTTGTGGTACAAAGGAGGCTGGAGTAGAGACAAAGGTATGTGTAGAGTATTAAGCCTTTGGTTGAAATAGGGAGCCGAACTTAAACCTCGATTGTATTCTTGCATATCGTAGTAACGAGAATGAGTACTTATTCCCTGCATGCCAAAGTGCAGAGCCTCAAAATTGAATTTTAACATTTTCAAATGATTAAAGTAATACTCAGCCGAAGATAATTTTAGTGAAGAGTAAAACTTACGATTTTCATAGAAAAACTCCGAACCATCAATGTCCACAAACGAGCCCACATTTAGTTGAATTGATTCTAATTTTTTGACCAACTGATCCAAGGTGGCAGAATCAAAATTATTTCTATTGTTGTATAGAGTTAGATTGAATTGTCTTCTTAGATTATTAAACATAACATTGAGCTTGGGTATTTCGGGTTTTAAATAATCCATTTGTTTCTCATATATCCAGTCAAAGGCTAAAGGTATAAAAGGCTTTATATGCTGAATACATTCCAATGGTTGAAAGTGTTGCGGTTCTTGCTGATACAGATGCCAGAGAAAACGTATTTGTATATATTGTTTAAGAAAATTATCATCGTATTCATTGAGCAAATCATCCAGAGCCATAAAATATGCTACATTTGTTATAACGATGCGCATATTTGCGTCCAATGGTCTGGTTTGATTGAATATTACTTTCAAATAATCACTTAACCATGGTACGGGCAAATACGCTACTGTTATCATGGTTGTGCCCAGCTCATCGCTTAGGTCATTGAGTTTTGTTAATTGCCATTCAAATTTGGTCACCTGCAACCATAGTTTTTTATAAGATTCAGCCGATAATTTTAATTTTAAATTATTTAAAATAATTTTTAAATTTTCATTTTTCAAACTTTTAAAGCCTCCCTCTTTGGTGGGTTTATTGAAGCCTAATAGCATTTTGGTGGGAAAGCTTTTGGTGTTGTAGATGATTTCCTCTATGAAGATGCCATTCATGCCATATTTGCGTAATTTGGCCAGCGTAATAATCCAGCTGGAGTCATAGTCCTGAGCAGCCTCATCGTTCATTTCATCAGCAGTTTTAGTTTCATCAACTTCGTCATCATCATCATCATCGGCGTCCATTACAATTTCATCATCCTCCCAACCCTCTGTGTCAGCATGGTGATCATGTTTATTGGTTTGATGTTCTTCGTTGTTTGTAGTTGTTGTTGTTGTTGCCGTTGCTGTTGTTGTTGTATTTATCAATGAAGGCCATTTAACGTGTTCATTCAACTCCAACCATTCCAAATACTTAATAGGTTCATACTGTTGTATGGCAATACATGATTTATAATATTTATACACTTTTATTATAAAATCCGGCTCTTTTGTTGTTGGCGCTGTTGTTGTTGTTGTTGTTGTTGTTTGTGATCTTGCAGTTGTTGTTGTTGTTGTATTTAAATTCTTTGTCATATTTCTCTTATTAAAGTATTTTAGCACCTCTTTGTCTGCCAAATAATCGATCATAGCTAAAGTCCGATCATATTTATCACTTTCAGCATCATCATGTTTTACAGTTTGTTCTGCTTTACGCTCTTCACCATCAGAACTTTTGTCTTCAGTATGATGATGCTGATGATACAATTGTTGCTTCCATTCACCGCAGGCATACTGATAGAAATCATCGCATGGATCAACTGTGAAATCTATAGAATTATCTATTATTTGCTCATGTTTACGCAGTTCTCCTATTGTTGTTGTTGTTGTTGCTGTTGATATATTGTTTTTGTTTTTATTATTATTTGTTGTTGTTGTAGTTGGCGTTGTTGTTGTTGTTATTATTGTTGTTGCGATCGTTGTTGTTTCGGCATTTTGAATATTATGATTATTATTATTATTATTTTCAGTAGATGATCGCGTTGTTGCTCTCGCTGCTGGTATTTGTAGCAGCAGTAGTAGTAGCAACGGCAGCACTGTGAATGCAATATTAAATAGAATTTTTATAAATTCCATTTGAATTGATACAACTTATTGATATCAATGCAAAATATCTACTGGTTGAGAGCATTGAAAGCTACATTGTTATACAAAGCAACACATTATGCCCGATGTGCAAGCGAATAAGGGCATATAGTACACAATACAAATACCATCCATATACTGCTGTTTCTTCTTCTTCTTCTTAGTTTATTTATTTTTTTTTTTATTCTACAGCTGGTGCTGCTGCCGTTACGAGTGCTACCGCTCTACATTCGTTTTACGTTCTTAAAGATGCGATTAATAATTCCTCCAACAACATCATCATCATAAAGTCTTATTAATAATAAATGACAATAATAGCAGCAAAAAAAAAAGAAAAAAGAAAATGATATTTTTTGAATTTTTGTTGCTGTTGCTTTTACTGTGTTGTTGTTGCTGTTGTCGTTGTTTTTTGTTGTTGTAGTAGTATGCTGTATGCTGACTCTGTATTTATTGAATTAATGCACAGTGGGCTTTTGCCTTTTGTAGTGGTGTTTGTATGGTTGTGTGTGAATTCATTTATTGTTGCTTGCTGCATAAGATGATAATGTTGCTCATGAGTACATATTTTTCTTTTATGATTACACTCTCACTGTAGCAGTAGAAATACTGTCTCATAATACACTGAAAGTAAATCATCTCTTATTTATATATGACAGAGATCTAAAAGGGTTTTGTCCACATTTGCATAGTTTCGGTTATATATTTCACCTGATACGAGGGACTCAGAACTATCAAATGTCAGATTTCTAAATATCTCTTAGATTTGACTTTTTTGCTCAAGCAAATTGTACGGAGTACTAGTGTAAAATTTCAGCTCCCAATTATTAAATTTCAGTTAAATTGTTGTCAATAACATATATTTATACCCTACATTAGGTATAAATATCAACACCATTTCAGTGGGGAAGGAATGCGGACGTCTTTAATGTACCATAAAGTAAAGCAATCTGCTCACAATCATTTTCTTAGTATCCCTCCGTCCATGTAAAAATAGTTCAGAGAAATTTGGTACATTTTGTACAGAGATAAATCTTGTTGAAAATTTTTAAAATATGCACATCATTTCACCTAGATTCCACCATCAGGCCTCATTTGAGCCTAGTCATACATACTAAGCCACCTACAGAAAATGACTTGCTGTCAGCAATTTGATTAAATGATGAACGTAGCGATAAAATTCAGCATTAATACATTTTATTCGAAATCCACGCACCAAATTTTATGAAGATAGGTCCTAAGTAAGATTGTAAGTTAGTAAGTTAGTAGGGAGTAAGTTAGTAAGTTAGTACGTATGTCAGTTAGTAAGTTAGTAAGTTAGAAAGTATGTAGTTTGTCAAGTTAGTCAGTTAGTTAGTTCGTCAGTTAGTAAGTTAGTAAATTAGTACGTTCGTAAGTTCGTACGTTAGTCAAGTTAGTCGTACGTCCAGTTCCTCAGTTCGTCCGTTCGTCCGTTCCTCAGTTAGTCCGTTCGTCCGTTCGTGCGTTCGTCCGTTAGTGTGTTCGTCCGTTCGTCCGTTCGTCTGTTCGTCCGTTCGTCGTTCGTCATTCGTCCGTTCGTCCGTTCGTCCGTTCGTCCGTTCGTCCGTTCGTCCGTTCGTCCGTTCGTCCGTTCGTCCGTTGGTCCGTTCGTCAGTTCGTCCCTTCGTCCGTTGGTCGTTCGTCCGTTCGTCGTTCGTCCGTTCGTCCGTTCGTCCGTTCGTCCGTTCGTCCGTTGGTCCGTTGTCCGTTCGTCCGTTCGTCTGTTCGTCCGTCCGTCTGTTCGTCTGTTCAGTCCGTTCGTCCGTTCGTCCGTTCGTCCGTTCGTCCGTTCGTCCGTTCGTCCGTTCGTCCGTTCGTCCGTTCGTCCGTTCGTCCGTTCGTCCGTTCGTCCGTTCGTCCGTTCGTCCGTTCGTCCGTTCGTCCGTTCGTCCGTTCGTCCGTTCGTCCGTTCGTCCGTTCGTCCGTTCGTCCGTTCGCCCGTTCGTCCGTTCGTCCGTTCGTCCGTTCGTCCGTTCGTCCGTTCGTCCGGTCGTCCGTTCGTCCTTCGTCCGTTCGTCCGTTCGTCCGTTCGTCCGTTCGTCCTTTCGTCCTTTCGTCCGTTCGTCGTTAGCACGTTCGCCAGTTCGCGGATACGTCAGTTAGCACGCTAGCTGATACGTAAGTTAGCAAGCTAGCGGATAAGTAAGTTAGTAATTTGTGTAAAATTGTGAACCGAATTGAACCACTTTCCATAGCCTTAATCCTTGGTTCATGTATAGTCCAAATTACATTAAAAATATCTGTTACGGAAAATTTACTCAGAAATTAGTTGTAATCGATATGCTTTTAAAATCTTGTAGGAGCAATTTGCAAACACCAATACAAGTGTGTTAAACTCTTCCCAAAATGGTGGTGTTGGTTAGAAAAATTATGGATTTTATGATGAACAGAAACAATGTTTTTAATATGTTTGCAACGTATTCTATAGCGTCAAACATTAATAGTTATAATTACATCTGAAAAGCTTTAAACACTTTTTTGCTAATGAAAGAATCTAGAATAAATATCAATCATACGCACCGAAGAACATACGTATGACAACATTTTATAACTATGCAATTTATTAACTGTAAAATGATTTCACTGCTTGTAATTGACCCACTGTACTCTGTAAAAGCAGTTGTAAACAAACATTTTAATAAGAAAATGGTTTTTAAGTCATTTTAGCTGAAAATCACATTTGTATTTCTTATCATTAATGCCTTCTCTTTTCTTTCAATCTTTTTTTTTTTTTTTTTTGCAAAAATTGTGTTTAACCTTATGTATTAATGTGTGTAGTAACTTGTGCAAGTGCATGTTATCACGGCCATACAATGTATCAAAAGGGGCCCCAATGGGCCTTACAAAACACAATGAAATTTAAACAAAATAATTACAATTTAAATAATTTCAAATTAAGCGAAACACATTACAACTGATTAAATGCTAAAGCTTAAATTTAAGTGCAAAGCTGAGCGCAATCAGTTGCCGAGTAGAAAATAGACTAGACAGTTAAATACATTTTAATAATATAATCGTTAGGTATATTTTGTAATAAAATAAATCGCCTGGCCTTAGAGTTGAACCTGTTCTTGTGTGTGGTGTTTATTTTGTAAAGAATAAAATGTTTGAACATTGTTTGTGTGTGATTTCTTTTTTTACGCATCATTATACTCGCTCATTATTAATGAAAGTTCATTCATTGTAATATAGAGAAGGAATGAAATAAAAAAAAACGCATTAAAATTATTGCAAATGAATTAAAAAAGAAAGAACTTTAGACTTGTGGGGAGGTTTTGAAATGTTGATTGTTTTTTTTTCTGTAATGAGATATATGTGCATGGTAATACGTATGGTATTAAATACTTACATATATTTGTTTTTGATAAAGATGAAAATAAATTTAAAATGTGACAGAAGGACAATATTGAATGAAAGGAAATTGATAGTAATTTGTGAAAAATTCTTAAATTCCAGTTCTAAATATAGTAAATGGTAGATTTTTTATAAAATTTGAGCATAATCTAGCTATATTTGGTCATCTAAAAGTTAATAGCTTAGAGATGAGGAAATAAATTAAAGAAAATTAAAATGTTTCAATTAAACCTTTTTTTTGTTAAAATTATTTTTTGTGTGTTAAAATAATACAAGCCTTTAAAATTTATAAAAAAAAGTTAAATTCTTATCATAATTTTTTTAAACTGTCTGGTTTTAAAATCTTCTAAAAAATATTAACACCAATCACAGCATTAAATCTTAAAATTTAATGAGTAATATTAGCAACATTCACCTAAACAATACAACTAAATTTAATATTAATAATTAAATAACAAATTTTGCATGATAACGTTCTCATTAAAAACCTTTAAATTTAAATTTTGTTTATAAATAACTTTTTGCTTTTAGCTGATAAAAAAAAACAACTTAAAAATAACAAATACAACATATTTAAAAAAAAACATTTTTTAAATTTATTTTCTAAATGATCTTTGGGCTGTTGTCAAGAGATCAACATTAAATATTATCATTTACTTATAAGGGGGGCCCCATTTTAAAGTAAACTTTAAGCTACGTCCTTGACATCTTTTATATGTGTAGTTGATGATGATGATGATGGGTATGACAATAATGCTGTGCATTAACTTTTATGTATCTTATTAAAGCACAGTTGTACAAACGTACATACTAAATATGTTTGTGAGATACATACATACTTACATATGTATGTATGTATGTATGTATGTAGATCCAATCATTTATTGTTGGCGATCACTTACTGTTTTGCCTTTTATTTGGGAACTTTGCTCACTTGAGAAAAATGAGATATTAATAGGCAAGCTTTATCAAATTATACCCTACAACGACATTGATAAACAAATTTTAAACAAACAGTCTAACCAAATTGCGAACATTTTGAATTATTATAATTAAACAAATTCAATTTACTTTTTAAATAAAAGTCCCAAATGTTTACTTTAATTTACATCTCTTACCACTAAAAACAGTTTGAAAATGTTTAACTTATAAAGACTTTAGTTAAATGGTATGGAATTAATATCAATCATACGCATGGATGAACAAAAAACTATATATTGAAACTCACTTATTTTGAAACAAATTATAAACATTTGACATTTGGATTAATTCTGGGATCATTTGGTTTTCCAATTGTAACATTGTACCAACCACTTTCTCAATATCAACTAAATTATGTATATAGCGAGATTTTTATGAACTATGAATTTTGGATGAGTTTTTATACCCTACACAATGGGACAAGTATTATGAGTTTTTACTGATGAAAGGGTAGACTGCAATTTTTAGTATATAAACTACTTAATCTGTTGAATAGTCTAAAATACCAGTTTACTAATATATAGACTAGGTTATTGGCTAGCCTATTGACTGATATATTAACTATCCTCTCTAGGCTATTCTCTAGTCTATTGACTAGCCCAAAAGTCTAGTTTATTTCTTAGTCAAGTTATTAGTCTATTGGATAGTCTATGGACTAGTCTGTTGGAAAGTCTATGGAATACTCTGTTGAATAGTCTATGGACTTCTTTATTTACTAGTCTATTGAATAGTATATTGACTATTCTATTGAATAGTCTATTGACTATTCTGTTCACTAGTCTATTCACTGGTCTATGGACTACCCCATAGTTTATTTACTATTATATTGACTATGAGCTAGTATATGGACTTGTCTGTTGAATAGTCTATGGAATACTATGGTTGATTGTCAATGAACAGCTCTATTTACTAGTCTATAGACT